CACAGTGTCTCCTGCACCCCACAGCCAGTGTGCTCCTTTATGGAGCCCACTCATCCCACACCATCCGTGCAGCGTGGCTGGGATCCCTCCCGCAGTGGGTACAACCACCACGGCTCAGTACAGAGCCCATACATCCCATGCCACCCAACCAGAGTGGCTCAGGACCGGGCTCACACTCCATATATCCAGCACGGCTCAGCGTGGAGCCCACACATCCCACACCATCCACACAGTGTGCCTGGCATTCTTCCTGCAGCTGGTGCAGTCACCATGGCTCAGTGTGGAACTCACATATCCCACACCATCCCTGTGGCACGGCTGGGGTCCCTCCTGCAGCAGATACCCCCGTGGCTCCACGTGGAGCCCATACATCCTGGACCATCCACACAACTCAGGCTCAGCTCAGCTGAGGCTCAGCTCCTTCCCACAGTGGGTACAATCCCTGTGGCTCCATGTGGCACGGAGCCCGTACATCCCATGCCATCCCTCTCCTGGTTCCGTATGGAACCCACGTATCCCAAGGTATCCCCGCAGTATGGATTGGGGCCCACCCCCCGTGTCTCCACAGGGAGCCCATACCCCCCATCCCACAGCACCTCCCACCCTTGCTGACATCCCTCCACCCCTCACCCCACACCAGGGTGCCCTCCCACCCCTGCCTGGCCCTGCCATCCCCCCCGCCCACCCCGTCCCCCCACTCCCACCCCAGGGACCCCCCGAGGGGACCCCGCACCTACCCCTGGGGTGCCTCCGGACGCCCCTGCCCGCGCTCTGCCTGCGGCTGCCCGGGCTGCGAGACACCAATGCCCTGAGTCACGCTCACCTCTCTAATCTCGCCCCCTTGGGGCTCACCCTGCCCCCCCCGGGGCCCCCCGTAAACAAGATTATCGGGGTGCAACATCTTGAGGCGCGAGGCTGTGCCCCGCCTGAGCCCCGCTGCCCCCGCCCTGTCCCTCTGCCTGCCCCGGCAGCACCGGCCCTGCTCCCGCTGCCCCCCCATATCTTGTTTACCTCCGGGTTTCCCTGCGGGGAATCCCCGGGATCCCCCCGGCTGTCCCCCCTTCCCGCGGGGTTGGGGTGTTCTCTTTAAAAAAAATTTAAAAAAAAAAAAAGGGGGTTCCTGGGGAGGTTCCCTGGGGAGGAGGCGCGGGGCGGGGGGGACACGGGGATGGTGGATGCATTAGGATGTCTGTCTGTCCCGTGGGATTGGTGTCATTGGGGTGTCCTGGAGAGGGGGTGGAATAGGAAGGGCTGTGTGTATGTCTGTGTGCACATCTACGCGTGTGTGTGCACTCACACCCCGTACCTTTATATTCACAGCCTTTCCAAAGTGGTCCTGGCCCCAAATCCCAAACCCCAAATCCCAGGGACAAGGAGGAGCGAGCCTTGTACACACACACACACAATCCCACAGCAGCCCCCCAGTGCCTGGGGACACCCATGGGGTCCCCCACAGGGTCCCTCTGGCTGTGGGGTCGCACCAGCGTTGTCCCCCCTGTGCCAGCCCGCTTTGGGGAGCCCACTCTGGTGGACCCACATTTTTGGGACCCAGTGGCACCCACAGCGGGGTGGAGGGTGGTGCTGGATCTGGGTGTCCCGATAACACCCCTTGGCCTTATCTGAGTGCTGCCAAGGGCTCCCCCCCTGCCCCCCTAGTCGGGTATTGAGGGCTGGGGTCACCTCGGCAGGGGCAGAAGTGGGGGTGAGGCCTCCCTGGGAGCACAGAGAGGGGGGTTTTGTCCCCTTGGCGGGTGTCTGTCCGCCACAGGTGACCCAGATTTATCTGGGTGCTCTGGGGCTCTGTGGGTGTCTGTGGGACTCAACCCCCATCCTGATTTCCCTGTCACATCAACGGGGAAACTGAGGCACGACACTAAATGGGGGTGCTAGGCCCCCCCCTCAGCACAGTCAGCCCCCCACCTTCCCACCCTCTGCAGACCCCGCGGGGAGAGGTGACACTCAGACCCCCCAAAACGGGGATCAGGGAAGGGAGGGGGTGCCGAGCTCAACCCGGGGGGGGCAAAGAACCCCCCAGAACCCCCAGGGGGGCTGCCCCCTCCCCGTGGCTTTCCCTAGGGTGTCCCCACCACTGGCACGTCATGTCGGGGAGGGGGGCTGCGACCCGCAGGAAGGTTGAGGGCTGCTGCGCCCCCCCTTTGTGCTCCCCCCACCCCACCCCCGGGGGAGAGATTTGGGGGGCCGGGGGCGGGGAGAGCATCCCTTTGGAAGGAGGGGGGGGGGCGGCGCACGGCCCGTGGCGTGGGCACCGGCGGAGCAAAGCCTGCGCGGTGCGGGGGGCAGCGGCCGTGGGGTGGGGGGGTCCCCACGGAGGGGGGGAAAGGGGCATCGCCCGCGGCCGTGGTGTCTGGGCCGCTGGATGGAAGCGAGCTGGGTGCCGGCTGCCATGGCTCTGGGGCTCTCCTCCAAGAAAGCTTCCTCCAGGAACATCGCCGTGGAGAGGAAAAACCTCATCACCGTCTGCAGGTGGGGGGAGCGGCGGCGAGGGGGTGGAGGGGGGCACCCCGAAATGGGGAGGGGAAGGGGGAG